GGAACTTTGGTAATGGCTGTTCAACTACAGATAGAGCAGAAAATTTAAGCAAATAGTGATGCAAATCCTTTCCAAAAGCTATTAAATCTCAACAAGAGTATTCCATCTTCTATCTCATCTTTGGTCGTCACTAAGAATAGTTCCCAATAACTTACTTATGTTCCACAATGCTCACTGTCCTTCCTCATCTATTTTGAGTAGGAACTAGTCACATAATCTTCATGAAGTCAGTATCATCATTTCATTACATTGTCTATCACACTTCTCACTCTCACAAAACTTCTCTGGCTACAAGAACTAAAACAGACAAAACCAATTTTGTTTTTGCATGTTTCTTATCTTATTACTCGACCTATTTACAGAGGAGCATCAAAGTCACACCAAGCTAGAGCAGTCCATCAATGCTGCGTTAGCCTAATGTTGATAAAAATGCTAATTATCTGAAATATGAATAGGAATATAATAGAAGTATGACAAAGGTTGGGATAAGAAAGATCTTCTAATTTCACATTCAATTCAAGATAGTGGGTTTCTGATTCCAAATAAGAATTTTTTTTCTATAAAGTCAAATGGGAATTAGCAGTTGTCCAACTTTGAATCAAATATGAGAATTATCTTAAAACGTCACATATCAACTACTTGAGATCAAGAAATAGAATGGCAATAGGTATAAAACTTGAGGCAAATGGGCGTGTAAAGTCATCAGTATGAAACACCTAGTGCCAAGAAAAAATTCACTCTCAAACGAAATATTCTGTATACACAACAGTCTAGTTTTAAGTAATATCGTAAAACGACATAAAAGAAAGAAAAAAAAAATTTTAAAAACAAAATTAAGGTACCTGCTTTTCATCAGTAGTGTCCATGGCACCACCTAAAGCAGGATGATCCTGAGTTCCCTCTCCCCTGTCACTCACTAAGGCCAAAACCCGAGTTCGGGTACTGGACACCATAAAACCACCCTTCAACCCGCAATATTTGCGCCCCGACGTGCTTCCAAACCCAGACATAGTCACTGACGGAAGAAGGGAAACATTTGGTGGCTTCAAAACCTGAAACAGCTGCATTGATGAAATTGCCATTTGAATTTCCTATTGGATCGTTCAAAGAGTGGAAAAACCAAATACACTTTCGGGTTGTAAGGCTCCGCGTTATGGTACAAGAAACAGAAACACTTTATATGACAGAAGCGGAAAAGGAAGAAAACAAGGACTCTTTTTTTTCCTCGAAAGCTGCTCGAGCAAAAGTTACTAAACACAATCCCCTTCCCAGAAGTGTATATTTTCTCCAAGAAATGTGATAAGGAGAAGGAGAGATGCAGAGAAGCGGTGTATTATAATTTTTCTCGGGAACCAAAGAAAAGAGAACGTGCGTGAGCGGGTGAGTTGAGGGGAGGGGGAGGGAATGAACCCGTGACCGATTTATGGATCCAAGATCGTTATTTCTGGTTTCCATGTCATTTGAAGAAGCAGAAGCAAGGATGAAAAGAAATAATCACAGAACTGTGTTTAAAACATAATAGATATTTTTTTATACAAAAATTAAGTAATTATGTGTTTAAATAAAATGATGATAAGAAATTATTTTTAGATTATAGTTTACACTGTTATACATACTTTTAATTTTTGAGTATGAAAAGGATAATGAATTAAATTAATTAAATAAAAAAATAAAAATTTGAAAGATTATTATTGACCAATTTATTTTTATATTCTCAAAATTACTTTAACAACTAATAAGTACTTTCTACCAAAATGGGATTTAAAATTATAAATACAAAATAATCAATTTCAAATATTATAAAAAAAATTGATTGACAATTTTTGGCTTTCTTAACTTTGAAAAGGTAAAGAAAGAGTTATAGGATTATAATAGGTGTAAAATAACAAGTCTAAACATGGGATTGATGATAAATGGTGAATACTTTGTTTTTTTTTTATAGCAAAAGTTCTTTATAATTTTATTTTTAGTCTCACAACGACAAAGGTCCAACCTTTTCATACTAGATTGACCAAAAGAAATTACAACAAAAAAAAAAGTATGGAAGAGAAAAGGAAGAACTAAAAACCTGCAATAATAGACCGATTTGAATAATTACAAGTAAGTGAAAATATAGGAAACTTGAGGAAGAAGATAAAGATGATAGGAGGCAGTTGAACCGGCCTGGATGCGCTCCCTCCTAAACGTGATCGAACGACCAGATTCAAACGCGATAAGACGGTTCAGATTAGATCACAATGGACGGTACAGATTGAAACGCGATGAATGGCCCAGATTCACTTCTTATTTAATCGCAATCGGATATTCCAGATTAAACGCGATGGACGGTTCAGATTAAAAGCGGACGGATATAAATAACCCTCATACGCACCAAACACTAACCCTAGCCTCCAGACTCCTCGCTAGAGAAGACGGTCCAGTCGCCGGGGAGCCGACCGCCACCGCACCGAAACCCTTTCCGACTGCTAAAAAAGATAAAAACTACTCTTTTTGTACAAAATTCAATTTTAAGCTCATCCATTGTCAAATCGGAGCAAAAAAAATCAGCCAATTGGCCGAAAAACACCAGCGAAATTCAGCGCCGCCATCAGGAATTTTACAAAACGCATTCGATGAGGCCCTTCTCAATTTTTATTTCGTGTAATTTTTTCACCGTTGTGATCACCGTTTTATTCTCTACATGTTGACCGAAGCAAAACACTCAACCGCAACGTGAGCCGGAGGAGCCACCACACCGGAGAGCTCCGCTGCCGGGAGTGAGTTTTGGTTTTTTGTATTTTTTCAGCCAACCAAGGCCCTTTAACATATTTTCTCACAGGGATCGGTACAAAATCAGCTAAATTTAGCCGAAAACGGCCGACCTGAGGTAGACCCCTGCCACAAGCAGCAACGTCGTCGCCAGAGCACGGTAGAGCCGCCGTGCCGAAATTCCAAAATTGGCCGAGTGGACCTGGGACTAATTTTAGTTTTTTTTAGAACATTTGTAGGTACTATTAGTACGTTTCGATTTCCAGAGAAAAATTCAGGGAACCTAGGGACTCCCCCCGTAGGTGCTATAAACAGCTTAGTTTTTCGGGTGTCAAAATCAAGTAAGAATTCCTCACTCTATTCTCTATCATAAAACTAAAGTTTAAATAAATAATAATATGGTATTTTGTGCGATTTTAGTAAACATGCATAATTAATTACAGATTGTTAATGGAACCGGAATCAGGAATTATCTACTGCTGTTCTTGATTATTTTTGTAGTTTATATGCATGATGGTATCTTATTTATTTATTTTATAGCTTTGAAATGCATGTATGGTTTATTTTACGTGTTTACTGATGAATCGGAAAAAATGAAGTTTAAACGGTAAATAAATTGTGTGATTAAATGATTAGATGAAATGACAGCCTTACTGGATATCCTAAGAGATGGTGGACGTACTGGGTATATAGAAAACTCTACCGTGAAGGTTGTCTCATACCGGACGAGGTATGGGGACAGCCCACTTCACCATCATACTGGACAGGGTATTGAGATTTATTAAATTAGCGCTCATACCGGACGGAGTATGGGGACAGCCTATGATTGAGAATGATAAATGAAAGGGTTCACATGTAGCGGAGACATCCTTATGAACCCCCATGGATACCAGCAGGCTAGTGAAAAAAATGGTAGTTATTATTTAGTTTATTGATAATGGATATGGATTATAATATATATTATGATGGCTTATTATGCATGAAATATTGATCTGTATGATATTATTTTTTTTTTACAGGTTATTTTCATAAATTCCACTATGGTAAGTGAACGAGAAATGATTTTATGATTAATAAATGAATTTGCTAAATTTAATGCTCTATTAGTGGTTTTCGATTTTATATCAACCTTTACTTCTGTGTCGGTGATATAGTGTGATATCCTTACTGGGTAGTGTAGCTCATCCCTTATTTAATCATTTCATATTAAAAGAACTAGGTTTCAGAGCCCGATCCGCAAGAAGATTGCGAGTAGATGCTAGATATTTTCTATTTTCCGTTTGTTTTCTTATTTCTTGTGTTTCTTTCAAATGATGAATTTCGTAATACTGTTAGTACTTTTAAGTTATTGTATAATGAATGTAAATCTTAATCTTTTATTTCGCTACACTTAAGTTATTATCTATTTCTTTTAAATATTTTTAGAGTCGTTACAGTTGGTATCAGAGTCGCATTCCTCGGACCCATTCTTTACTCAAAACCCTTAGGAAACACCGAAAATAATGAATTGTTATTCAACCTTTCCTTGTGAAATGCAAGTACAGATAGATGAGGAGAGGAAGACCCCCACTAAACCGAGCAGCCTGAGATGGTTCGCTTAGGGAAGACGTTGATAGAATGTTTGAGATGCTGGAGAGACTCATTGCTGTCCAGCAGAGGCGAGAAGAAAGAAGAGAGCTACTTGACCCTCCCCCGCTGCCACAAGTTGAGCCACCCTTGCAGCGAGAGGATCTTGAGCCACCCCAGTACGACCTTGCTCCTCCACAGTACCACCCGGCACCACCCCAGTATGATCAGGTGCCCCAGCTACAGTACCACCTGGCACCACCCCAGTATGATCAGGTGCCCCAGCCACAGTACCACCCGGCACCACCCCAGTATGATCAGGTGCCCCAGCCACAGTACCACCTAGCACCACCCCAGTATGATCAGGTGCCCCAGCCACAGTACCACCCGGCACCACCCCAGTATGATCAGGTGCCCCAACCACAGTACCACCCAGCACCACCCCAGTATGATCAGGTACCCCAGCCACAGTACCACCCGGCACCACCCCAGTATGATCAGGTGCCCCAACCACAGTACCACCCAGCACCACCCCAGTATGATCAGGTGCCCCAGCCACAGTACCACTCGGCACCACCACAGTACAATTCGATGCCCCCACCGTATCAGCCAGTACCACCGCAGGGTCATCCAATATGTCCTCAGCATGGCCTAGTCCCTCTTTTGCGGGACCCAGCTCCTCCTATGATGGACCCAGGCTATATAAAGAGGTATAAAAGATTAAACTCATATACTTTTGTAAGTAGATCCTCTTTTGAAGATGTTGAGTACTGGTTAGCAGAGACAGAGAAGGCCTTCAAGACTTTGGAGTGACTCCCGAACAAAAAGTCACCCTTGCTACCTATATGCTAGTGCGAGAAGCAGACTATTGGTGGGAACTCAAACAGACCACCCTGCTTGTTCAAATTACTTGTGAATAATTCCTGGCGGCTTTTCGTGCAGAATACCTCTCAGAGCATCTCTGAGATCTGAAGGAGATGGAGTTTGTACAGTTAGTTCAGGGAAACATCACTGTATCAGAATATGCTAGCAAGTTTCTAGAATTGGGCCGATATGCCCCTGAGACATTGTTGGATGAAGGCAGGAAGGCTAAAAAGTTCGAGTGGGGTCTCCACCTAGAGATTAGACAGCATTTATTTGTGCTGGAGCTCAGGACTTATTCAGTCGTTCTGGCCAAGGCACAGCTAGTGGAGAAGAGCTTTTGCACCCTCTTTTAGGCAGCAGGGAATCTCAGACCCTCAGCTCTACCCCACAGACCATCACTACTATGCTTGTTCAATAAAACACAAGGCCCAGACTGGTGATCCAGACTCTCCCTCAAGCTCCAATGGTAGGACGCGGTAAGATCTGTCAGCATTGTGGTAGAGATCATGGGGACCGACCATACTATCGCCTCAACAACACCTATCACATATGTGGTAGTGCCCAACATTATGTGAGGGAATGTCCAAGGAACCAGAATCAGGGTAGACCTCCTATTCAGGGCAGAGTTTACAATCTCACCCAGTAGGATGCAGAAGCCAACTTGAACATGGTACAGGGTATGTACAGTATCTGTAACTATCTTGCTCATGTTTGGATTGATACTGGTGCATCGCATTCATTTGTTTTACCTATTTTTCCATCAAAATTTAATGTATTACCTGATAAACTTGATTCTATGTTGTTTGTGTCTACTGCTGGAAGTATAACACTATTGGAAAAAGTCTACAGGGCTTGTGTCATAGATATAGCATATAGGAAATTGAATGTGGAGCTAATAGAATTAGACACGTGGGACTCTAATGTAATTTTAGGAATAAATTGGCTGGCAGTGTATCACGTCACCGTAGATTATTTTAGCAAGAAGGTTGTATTCAATCCTTCTAATGAAGAGCCATTTATAAATTAATAAAATCGTTTAGCATTTATTCCTTTATGAAAATTTTTCTTATTTGTCGAGTACTTTAACTCTGTTATTTTCTCTAACTAGGAAAACCCAAGAAAGATATTTGTATTCAAGAGATTTCCGGTAGTCTAAGACTTTTTCAGATGTGTTTCCGGATGAACTACCCTGGACAGCCAGTGGGCAGGGAAGTCGAATTCATCATAGACCTCCAGTCAAGCACTCAGCCTATTTCGGTTGCTCCTTACCGCATGAGCCATGTTGA